CACTGGCCTCATAACTCTTGCAATTAGCGGCCGCCAACCCGCCCCCTCCCCTTACCGGCGCAGTTTTGCCTCTGTACACGTCCGCTCCTCTTTCGCATTGGTTTTTCAGACCAATGGGAGCCCACAGCAACTGCCTGCTGAAATAACACATTCACACACTCTTCCCAAGACTGGTTTCGCCCTACGTGACGGTTAAACTTGTGTTCCTCCCTTGTATACAGTCAGGTGACTTCGCCGACTCCCTTCGTTCTTGACTTGGTGCATCCACTGTTGAGTACCCTTCTGCCTTGATAGTTGTTAGCATTTGGTTCAAAATATGGCTGACTGCTGGATACAGAGTTAGAGAAGTCAAGGAAGACGAAAAAAATACCAAAAAAGTGAATAGCGGTTGGGTTTCCAAGTGGGGTCTTTGAAAGGTCCTTATGCATTATAGTCGCCTACTCAAATGTGTTAAGTAGATTGAATTGCCCATAACCCTCAAGTTTTCCACAAGCCATCCGTCGATCCAGTAGGGGTTTGATGATGGCATTATACTGCAGAGTGGTCCTGCCATGGTCACCGCATACCATAAACGCTTAATTCAGTATACTAAGTAAAATTGGCCTTTTAAATTAACCACGGGAATAATCAATTACTTACAAATTTTAAGTAGCGTGATATCCACAAACTTCCAACTTTTGTGCTGCGTTAACCTCTTTTTCTAGTTGCTGTTAGTGGTAACCCTAGAAAATGTACCTCAATGACCTCGCCAGAAGTTAGGGCACACTCCCTCGACATACACGCGTTCGCCGTTGGTCGGGCAGGGGGTTAGCGATGATATTAAAGCCTACTTCAGTGCCCTTGCCCAAGGTCTGAGTACGCGACCCAACTTCTCCTCGTAACGTTTTTATTTAACAGGAATATTGTGATCTTATTTGTTCGTTGACAAGCCCCGTCCGTCCCATCCCCTAAAATCAGGTGCCCGTGAGCCTGAGGGGTGCGCTTCACACGCTCTCCAGATGGCCCCACAGGGA